GCACGTTTACACAGCCAATTTCCCAAATGCGATCTGCCGTTGAAGTGTTTTACTAATAGTTCCTGTTTTATTGTATCGGTACCGAGCACCAATTTAGTCAACCAAACATTCAATTCATCACACATTTTCTGCAAGTAAAAGACACTGAAAAAATCTAAAAGCTTCATACGAATTCTTAAAAACCCGGATCGGTTGTAATTTCATCCCCATCAAAGATAAATCCCATATCCACTGCGAGTTTAAACAAAGTAGATCAGCGGACCGTCTCTGTTTGTTCGTTTCCGAACACATCAGTTAAGCGAACGTTCCACAACCGAAGGAATTTGCTCACTCGGAGTTCAGTCTTTATGGTGTACGATTGGTTAGACAATATTCTTAACCTGCTTATATAATGGAAAATAACACAGAAACCTATCGTTCAAATAGACGAGATGAGCTGTTGTTTACGGAGTAGAATGGTGTGATCTCAAAATGTCAAAGTTTTCAGGAAAAAAACGGGACACTGTATTCCCATTGCTCGTGAGGTTTTGATGCCGACTCAAGGTTGTAAGGAAAAGTTTACTGTGAATTTGTGTGGGTAAATTCTGACTTTTTGTTTAAGTTCCTTTAGACTACTACTGCCTGCTGTGCAGCTAAAGCGTAAAGGATTGAGGCAAATCATGTAGATTTAAAAACGTTCTGACTCGTAACTGATATCTCCCAAGGGAACAAAGTATAGAAAATCAGTACTGCCTATCATTTATCAAAATACTCACGTAAAACAGCAATGAAAGGGTCGAGAGACTCGTTGCAACTTTGAACTGCTTTCATAAACTGGTCACTTCTACCAAACAACCGACTGTGATCTGCTTACGTTCAATCAGCGGCGCAAATAAAAGCTGTCTATGAAGAAATCCTGCAGCATGCGATCTGCTGGTCATGGTCAGTTCATTTCCCGCGTGGTCGACCAGTTGAACTGTTGGGCAGATTTTGAGACACTTGTGGGTCTGACTGCGCTAATCAACTTGTAGGGTATGCACCGTACAAAAGTAAATTTACCGTCCCACAAGAGTGACAATGTTTTCATCATTGAACGATTTGAAAAGGGGTAACAAATTATGGCCTACACAATGGTGACCAAATGCTGTTATTTTTATGTTTGTGGCAAATTAAAAGAGTAAGTGAATCATTATGTAACGTTTTGGGCTCGTTGTTACCATGCGATTGGTCACTTGTATCTGAACTACACATGTGACTAACTAATGATTGAACACCTGAATCTTTCGCAAAATTTGCAAATGTTTAAAAGTTCTATATAGAAAAGAATGGCAGCCAATGAAACCAAGACTGGGTTGTGACAAAACAAATATGGGAAAACATTTCACCACAGAGGAGATTCATTCCTATTGTTCAATAAAAACATAAAAAGTATCTATTGCATGGAAAATGTGATGTCGGTTCATATAATTCATAAACTTGATTTGTTTAGCCCTATGGTGACAACCGGGCAGACAGCATACATTCAATCGTACGCCTATTTCTAATCTATAAGTCAAGTCAAGATTCACAACTCGTTTTATTCATTATAATGGATAAGGGAAATAATAGACTGGTGTAGAATTGTGTCGTGTTTAACTCTAAGACCGTCAAGTAAAACTGGGGAGCAGGAAAGACGATGACGAACAATACAACAATATACAAATCGGGTGAGTAAATACAGCGGAGTTTTTAAAGAGCGCAAGCGGGAACTGAACAAACACAAGCATCGAATCTCTTTAAAATTAGAGTTGAAATGTGAAGTACAGGTGAGTTCTTGGTAGATAGCCACAATGAGAACGTACTGGAGAACCGGCAGAGTGTCAAAAGAGAGAGTAAATCCTTTCAAAAAATTAAGCCCATTTTCCTTTGACATCCCTACATTTAGAGGACAATAGATAATTTAGAATACGAAAACCATAAGCTTAAGGCAGTTAAACTGGTTTGAAGCTGTGAAGAACAAAAATTACCTAGGAAGCTGGAAATCATGGTGATAAGAGATCAAGCTGAGTCATTGGGTAGGTCTTTAACATAGAAAGAGGAAGGAAAAACGGAAAGTGTTGTTTCCTGAAGTAAACCTGAATTGGCCGTCATCGGGTCAGAATTTTTCCTTAGGAACTTCGTGAAAAGTGTTCCATCAGTGGAATATTCTTGGAGTAGAAATAAGCTAGTAATAAAGAATGTAGGACCATGGAGTAGTTAAAAAGGCCTGCCTCTGTCGATACAGTTAAATTCGTTACCGTAGTCGAGGATTGCATAACTCAGTTTATAAAGTTCGCAAACGCATCTAAGGTAGGACGCTGTTTGTGATATGCTAACTGCTCCGTGTTAGAAAAGATTTGTAAGCATAAACTTTGAAAAATTCTTTGGTAAACCGGTTAGTCGAAACTTCCTGGCTTTTTTGGTACTGGTGTAATACGCGCGGGTCTCCAACAGCCGTCACTGTTTTGTTCCTCGAAGCAACGGTTGAAAATACCGGTAAGTAGCTCAGCCAAATAACATGCACCTTCCCTGGGGACGACTGGAAATAGTCCATCAGGACCGGAAGCTTTTTATATTTTGAGGTCATGGGGCCAGCAGAGGTCAAAGCAGAAGTTCAAATAGCTAGTGAGGTGTTCACATTCGACCGAGACACTTGGGATAAAGAAATGATCAAAATTTGTACAAGAAACCATTTCTCTCAGTGATGCCAAGTGGGCTCGGTCGCATAGCCTTTCAGCTGGATGTGCGCGTCAGTGTACCATGATATTTATTTGAATGGAGATTAGGCAACACATTTATGATGCAATGAGTGGAGTTTGCCAAAGGGGCTATTCTTCGCAGAGCAAACAGGTCAGGATCGCTCAAAAACAAAACGTATCCTCTTGAGGGGAATTTACAAGATTGTGAAGAGAAAGACAAGTCAAGAAATGCACATCGGCATGGTTAAAATTACCACTAAATATAAAAAGAGAGCGTTCCATGTTTGCTGAAAATGTCAGATATAAATAAATCAGTAAACCTCTGTACATCTGAAGTTGTACCGGTGGGCGCGATGTAAATGTTTGATGCTATGATGGAACGATATTTACTAAGAAGACGGGATTTACATTCAACCAAATTACATGAGGTGAAGATAATCTTGGTAGACTTACACCAAGACGATTTGGTATAGGTTATTAGACCACTGCCTCGATTTCGAAGTAAACAGTTTCTATCCAACCAGTGCATGTCAAACAATTCTAGCTCAACCAAAGAGTCGTTGATGTCAGGATGCAATCAAGTTTCTTGCAGCATAATTATCCCCAATGAAATGTGTGAAGTCGCTCATTTTTCCAAAAAAATGATGATCGTACTTTTGTTGAGCAAACACCAGGGGTAGACATTTTCTGAGTTTTGTATTACGTTGAACCAATTGCCAGCCTTCTCGATGCTTTCTGAGGAAATCTGACTTAGACAGTCTGCATTTTTTGTATCTATTTTTGACTTGACGACTGAAGTGTTAAAGAACGCCACCTTTGCGCAATAACACACTTAGGTTTACATTATTTAAAGGTTCCGGAGCGTAGGTAATCATAAAAGCGATGAAATAAATTTGATTTAAACAACTGAATATAATGTGTTACGTTAATGTTGATAAGTTATCCCCTAAAGCACAAATATAGCACGGCCGAATTTCGGAGGCTGCGCTCACATTGTCAGAGTAGACAAGGGTTTTCAGTGGAGATGATTTTAATGTGATGGCTGAACATGCAATCTATTTCTCCAATATCAATTCGGTGATAGTACTTTTGTTCATCACAATTCAGTTGAAAAATTAAAGCTATTTATTATAAAATGATCGAAGCTCAATTAGTCGTTTCATTTCATTTTAATTTACAAACACTATTTGTCTCGGGCTAAATAGTCTGCACTAAGCATTCATCTAATTACTTTCTATTTTTCTATTTTTCTACTGATCACCAACTGAACCAAAGCATATCGCAATAAGCGTAAAGGATATGCGTCATTAAAATTTTGTTTGTCCGCATGGATGAGAGGATACATTCACCTCGTGAAATACGGAAACCCGGTGAGTTTGTTTTTCAGACCACCACTGTTCTGTGAGCAGACAAACGGATGGCAGTGTTATCAGTACGTTGCTGATCTGTTGTCTTCTCAAACCCACCTGCTTGACTATCTATCGCACCGTGTCTAAACAGGAACTATTATCGCCTGGGATCTCGTCACCTGAAATTCACGTTGCCGAATCTGTGCGCCTGTTTCTTTCTCGTTCCTAAGTTGCTGTTGAATGATATCAGCAAACTTGGCGCATTGGTATAGCTGTCGAAACCCGGGAGTTAGGCGATAGATAAAATTGTCTGACCAAATTCACTAGCAGGTGACGGCTATCGACCAAGCCAGCAGAGGAATGTGATTGCATTTATCATGTTCAGTGCTTCATATTTTCAGTTCCGAATAGTCCAACATTACTGTAACGGGAGATAGTTTATAAATGAATGTACAAACGTGTTCATGCAACTAAAGAGGTTGATGATTATTGACTATCCATGAATAAACTGTTGTTCACAATTAAGCCTTGTTTAACATTGAGGTAGAGATAAAGGGACAGCAAAAAATTAAGGCGTTCTGTCGATATTCATTCAACTTGCTTGAAGATAATAATTTGGATTCTAAAGCTAAAAAATAAATAACCTCGATGAAACATTATCGGCGCATTACACTACTGCTGCATTGCTTTCCGTTCAAAAGGGTCAACTCCACTTCTAAAACTAATGAAGCTTGCCCGAAACGCGTCATCTGTTGAAAACCAAGGTGTCAATCGATGTTTGTTCCAGAGTGTGTACAACGAATGAACTGCTGACATATTGATCACATCACATGATAACAGATACAAACAATTTATGTAAAACTAAAATTTAGAATCTCAAGAAATATAAACGCTCGTTGAATTATTTTTCGTGGGGATCACGATGAACAATCCATCGATCTCAATCTCTCGCCACTTACTGACGATCGGAGTTCGGTGAATAGCGTTCCGGTCTATCGGTTTCGGGTAATGTGACCTCGAAAACGGTATCTCCACGTGGTTCCAAAGTAGCCGACTCGTGCTCGTCCGTGTGCAGAATGGAAATCGGACTTTGCTGTCCTCTAAATGCGTCAAAACAAAGATAATTTGGGCACCATCAGAGATACAAATTACAATAGTGGAAATAACAATCAAACCCATTTTGTTTCCTGAAGTAGAACACATAAAGTCTTATTGAACTATCAGGCTGTTAGCCGGTTTTGTGAAACCGCGTAAATGCTTCAGAACCGGTTACAGTTTGCATTGTATGTGATTGTTTTTAGTCGATCACAAAGTCGGGTACACAGATTCCCGAAATGGAGGGAGGAGCACCAGATCAATATGTGAACTGTTGAATAACAGTGACCGTGCCCAGGCCCTGGCATATACATATCCATAGTTCATTAGTATTAGTATTTTATTAGTAGTTTGTGAATGACTGGGAAAAATTTCCCCGGAAGCACACGAGTGGCAAGAACCGCGAAACTGGTCGTGTACTTCCAGGGAAACTTTGTCCAGTCATTCACATGATACTTATAATGAAATATTCTACAAAGACCATCAGGTCAGTTTTGTTGCGGTTAGTAGCATCTAACCCACTTACAAAACATCGAACCATAGCTTCTATTTTCAATGGACTGGCTCTAAAAGTGCTGTCTCTCCAATGGTCACCCGGTGTTGCAAACAAGGTTGTTGTGAAGAATATATATATATATATATATATATATATATGGAGGTGATTCCGGATCCATCGCAAATTCAATTCTCGCCCAGTTGTTAGACTCCGGGCATCTGAATTAAACATTTGACCCCCGAACTAAGTACCCGGAAGTGTTTTATCTAAGCTGTCCATCTCCCCTGGGTTCGCGAACCCACCCCTCCTCCTTGCACACACACACACACACACACACACACATACACACACATTTTAATACGACAATAGCGATCCCTCAAAACTGGGTCACAGGACCAACGTGACATAACTGAAAACCCCGGAAGCATGGATCTGAGAATGCGGTGTGCAACACACCGGAACGATTCCTAACATTTTATTGTTCTCCTCTCAACCCCTAGGTTTTCTCCGCTCATATAAACTGTAACCACATGATTATGAGTCATTAAAAACAACTATTCGCCTAAAATTATCTTATGCATATAGCCCGTCAGAACGAGATTCACAGTTTATCACCACTCCGTTTCTAAATAATATCGCAAAATTCAAAATTATAGTTAACTTTTCGCCTATTTGTTTCTTTCTCTTCAATTAGAAAGCCTTTCAAAGAAGGCGAAGTGGACAATCAGAGAGCAGTGAGGTGATTTGGAAAATATGGAGAGTTTTGCGGGTTGACGATGAGGTTTGAACACACGATCTCCGGGGTGATTTGTAGGTGAGCTCGACCAGCGCAGCCGATTCAAGGAAAAGTGAACACTATAACCTATCATCAGAATTTGGCTAGCCAAAATTAATCAGTGTGTGTGTGTGTGAATAAATGCTTCATTTATATTTAGGATTTCATCATGTTCGGAGCACATGAAGCGTGAGCTGAAAGCCTGAGCAGCCCTGGACAACCATTTCAACCTGTTTGGTTCTCATCAGTAATGCGAATCTATCGATCCGACCTCACAAGTAGAATGTAATGCTACTTGACGGCCAAGCAGCTGATTAGGCGGTTTTTCGTTTGCCTGTTCATGATGGAGCACAATCCTTGGTTGCAACCCGTTACGGGCATCAAACCTGGCTTATTCCAGTACTGGCCTTCAGGGTATTCATTGCATGGGAAGCATTCCACTCCGATTTCTCGATTATATGACAACTTTATGAACATTAATTTTCTGGTTGTTGTAGAGTTTGGGATAGATGAGATTACAAACCATTACTCAATACTGACTTTTGTAGTTCCAATCTCAAGGAGTCGTCTTTCTTCCTTATTCATTTATCCGTGGTGCCTTCTTTTCTAGGTTTTATTTGCGCTAATCTGTATTCTGTCACAAACTACTTGCTACCATATTTCCATTTTGTCAGTAATTCTTCTGGCCACCAATTGAGGGCTTAAGAAAAACATTGTGAAAAATAAAGTATGACCAATATATGCGACTTTTTCTAATTTAGAACATCTTTGCAGGAAGTATCGATAAATTTATTCTAATAAGTTACATTTATTGCCTAAATATTTGTGAGATTCCAAGTGAGTATAGAGTTTATAGCAAATGAAACGTGAATTGAAAAGCTAGGAAGCAATGGACAGCTAGTTCGACCTGGTTGGGTCTCATCAGCAGTGCGAATCCATCGACCCAACTGGGGATCGAACTCGGGATCTGATGGGCAGAACGAAAGCATGCTATCCACTCGGCCACCTGGCAGCTGATCAGACCGTTTTCATTTTCCATTTACACGATATAGCACAACCCATCTCGGCGAGCTTGTTGCGTTCCGCTCATGAGGTCCCCGGGTTCGATCCCCAGTTGGATTGCACTGCTGATGAAACCTAACCAGGTCAAAACAGCGGTCCAGCGCTTCCTAGATTTTCAAACCACGTTTCTTTTGCTATATACACAACGAATACACCTTCGAAATATGAGCTTGTTTTACATGTTCGAATGTCGTTATTGCATTTAAATGTTCGTTTTGACAAAGCCAATTTCGTGAACGACCAGATAAGTGTGACGTTGTTTTCGCAGTCTTGTATACAGTAGAAATAGGAAAGTACCTATGTCATAGTATGGAACACCGATTTCTGAAGTAACATGAAAAACATTCTGATCGTTCAACTCCTTCAGCAATAACTTTTTAAGCTTATTTTCTTTGAAGGAAGTTCATTCGACTCATTCAAATAGAAGCATTTCACAACAGCACCCATAGCATTCACATAAATGACAGCAAGCAATACAGCTGCCATATTATCGTAGAAATATTCTGTTCCAAAATATCAGTTACTTGGTTTTATTTGGACTCCTCGGGGAAGTAAATTGGTTGAAAATCCGAAACTCCTACATCTTTGGTATCAGTTCTGGAAGTAAAAGGAATATGACTATCGATACCTATTTCATCGATTCTGCCTCATGACGTGTCAAAAGGTTTTGAAGCTGGACAAGTGATGATAAATGCAGCGTGAAAAAACCTCGTTGTAGATTTGAAAACATTTCGGCGAACGGTGGGGAAGGTCTTTCCAGATACCGACAAAGATTGGGGTTTACGGGGACCAAAGATCACTAGTCTTCTCAACTCCGAGCATTGTGTGTGTGTGACGGCGTATCCCGCCGAAAGTCGACTGGACTTTTTCACATTATCCGCCGAAATTAAATCAATAAACTCTATGTTTTTGAGTTGATACTCTACTTTGAGTAATAACTGAAACACGCCTGTGCAGGATTGAAATGAGGTATTGATTGAGTTGAAGTCCAAACCGATTGATATTTATCTGTATCAAAACGTGGTGTACAGTGACTACTTATAGGTGCATCCCACCATACATCGTACACCGTGAAATAAAAGATGTGCTTGTTGTTTAAGAAACAGTACTGAGCCAGAAGTATTTTTCCATATTTTTTATACATCACACCATAAAATAGGGACTCATCCTGGATAGAACCAAGGGCAGCAAAGCAGAAGTAAACTGTGTTATCATTGTGATCGTTTTGAATTTTTGAACAAAAACTATGCTCAGTCGATCTACGTCCTCATTTCCAATCTGATGCACACATTACAAGTCTGGTTTATCGCTCTGTGTAGTACCTGTTCCACTTATAAACCGTCTATTTACATTTTAGAGAATACTGGAAAATATGAGTGGTTGACTGAAATACGCAATTGATATATTTTTTCAGACGATCAATAAGACAAAAGATAGGCAAAATCGTAATGATAGAACAACTTACCGTAGAATTAGAACGGAAACGGCCACGAGTGAGTAAGCCAATAGTGTGCCAATAGACATCATATCGACTAGATCCTTCAAGCTGAAAACCGCAGCCAAAATTCCTGAAAGTAGGCAGAGAGCATAAAATAAATGCATAAATTAGTATCGAATGGAGTAGACTGTGTTCAGAGGAGATAAAGATATCGAATGGTTGCGGACAGGACCAAAGTTTACACCCATATTCACCCTCGAAATTCAAGCCTCCGAACCGGATACGAAAACATTTGAATTGAACGATATGTTGTAGGCCGATAATCTGTCATGTGATAGCCTGTCTTAAGTGCCTGAGTGTTTGCACACTAAAGGTGGTATCGGTTAGACTCACTCTAAAAATTATACGTAAATTTAGTTTAGAGTGATGCTGGTTATTGTGATATTTCTTTGACACAGAGAACGGATTAATACACCGCTTGATGGAAATAACATGTTTTCATCAAAAGGACTGCGTAGTTTTGATCCCCGTCAACAAGATACGTAGAGCAAACCCAAAAAAGTGCGTCGAGTTGGTTTTCGCAACCGTCGGCCTTTTTTCACAGCTTCCCCCCTCACACCTTTTATTATTCAGGTTTAAAGTATTCACCATCTTTGAAAGGTTTTTTTGCTCTCTCCAAGATTCAAGGCTTCATCAGTACAGTTTTGACACTAAATTTATTTTCGTGGCTCTATCTGTACGCTTATATGAACATTATGCAGTAGGAAATATTGTTCAATTAATTCAAAGTTCTGCATCCGAAATGCTTTCCAAGCTCTTGATTTCGGAAACACATAAGTGTGATTTGCTACTAAACCAATGTTACCCTAGCTACCGATAGTTATTCATGAGTTGTTCAACTGGATACAAATGACTATTCACAAACAGTTATTGGTTTGTGAATAGTCTGACGGATGTACAAAGCACTCGTCAAAATCTCCTCGGCCTTTGAGTTTCAGAGTGTGGCAATATTCTACCAAAGCACAGCATATCCCTTTCCAAAATCGCTAACAGCATTCAATGAATATGAAATCGTAACGTTCGTTTGATCTGCATGTCACACTGCTCTTACCCTTCATGAAGCCTAGTGAACAGAGATGCACTTACTTCAAAGAGTATCATGAATAATGGGAAACTGCCGATGCAAAAAGTATTCAGACAGGCGGGATATCAGCTAGACGAATGAGCAGTGAATAAGCTTGGCATAGCTCAACGCCCATCTGGTGAGTGGTCGTGGTTTGCTTTCTTCGATTCACCGAAATAACTGTCTTTTCATTCAAGCGGCTTCCTTTGCTTCCCCGGGCGGTTTAAATGTTAAACGATCAGTTTTACTTCGCTTCAGTGAGAATTATCGACCAAGCCGGGTCAAAGCAAGCCGGAGAATTTCTCGAGGCTTGGCACTCCTCATTCAACTCAATAAACAGGCACATCGAACTGTATCACGTATACATGCCAATGCAACTCAAGGATCAAATGACGCAACAAAAAAGGTCACGCCGTGACCTTAGAACGGACGGAAACCGAAATCAGGACGGAGGGACAACCACCTCCCCTACCAACCTCATCCCCAGGCACCAGTTAAACAGCGAACCGAGTCGAACACAGTGAGAACACGGCACAAAAATAGTCTCCGAGACAGTTTCCAGTTTGTGGCTAAAATAGAAGACCTAGATCTGCAAGAAAAGATAATGTTTTCCTTAGAAGTCGTCTAACTGTTCACTAATGTACCCCTGTTGAAGACAGTGGAATTCATCTGTGATCAAATAAAACACTGAATATATATATATATTCCTGTCACAAATCTAAGGGAACTGTTATTACTCTGCACACGTAACGTCCAGTCTCTGTTTGATGGTACTATCTATCGTAAGGTGGACGGGGTTGCCATGGAATCGCCACTTGGTCCGCTGCTAGCTGTTATCTTCGCGGATAAACTAGAAAGGAGCAAGTTGAGCNNNNTTGAGCCCAGCTATTGAAGGATTGGCACACTAAAGTAGTTAAATGGATGATATCTTCTGTGTGACTGATCGCAAAAGTTGCATCCGACAGACACTAAAATCGTTTAACGACGCACATCCATCACTGAAATTCACTGTAGAGGTTAAAACGAACAACATACTGGTCTTTCTGGATGTAGCCGTGCCCTGGAAAGAAGATGGATCACTAAGAAAACAGATCCACAGAAAGAAAACATGGAATGGCCAATATACCAACTTCCATAATTTCGTCCCAGTGAAGTATAACCACAATCTAGTCCGGTGTCTAGCCTTCAGAGCCCGGAAGATTTATTCAGCAGACACACTAGATGAAGACCCACACTTCATCCGCCAAACGCTGCAGGACATTGGAAAAGTTCATCGATAAAAACATTCAGCTTCCTCCTCTACCTGTGTCCCCAAGAAAGAAATATTCATAAGAATTCCATTTAAGGGAGACTCACATAGAAAGAGCCTAGTCCAATCACTGAGAGCAGCCGTGAATTTTACTTTCTCTGCAGCCAAACTTAGACCAGTGTTCTCTACATCACCGGTGATGCGAATGCAAGTGAAAGACAAACTGCTGAAGCTGACCTCATCCATGATAATATACTCTTTGAAATGCGTCCTTGGCGCATGTTACATAGGTCGTACGGTATGGCGTTTGTCTAAGTGCGATAAGGAGCACCACCAGCGATGGTTAAGTCAAGGGAAGACTGGCTGTATCTCAAGCGCGACCGTGGAGCATCTCGTCGACACCGGGCACAAGAACGAACCGGAGAAAGCTTTCGATATTGTTTATTGTATCCCACTCAATCGATCAAAGATGGCCCGAGTTTGGTCACTGGCCATGACCGAGGTGATCGCCATTCGCTTACTAGGCCCTAACCTGTGCCCCAAAACGATGATTTTTTTCACTATGTGATATTTAAGGGTATGACTAGGAATATCCGAAAACAATTGTTCGCTCACCGACTCGTTTTCACAAAATTGGTTGATGAAGATGAAAACATATAAACGAGCAGATTTAAGCAGAAGACTATCACTTCCCTGGGGCGGTGGTGGCCGAGTGGTTACGTGACCAAATTGTTACCCGGAGGTCCCGGGTTTGAACCTCTCCACCGCCGCCCGTTTTCCCTATATCTGTATTTTCCCAGGCAGCTTTTGTACGGCCGCAGCCCCCTTCCTGAAAGTTGACTGTACATTTGTATATTCAATAAAAAAGAAAGTAAAATACATTTTAAAAAAAGCACCAATGATGTCACCTCGGCTGGTGATGAAACGTTTGCAAACAAATTACCAAGCTCAGCTAATAGGCGAAATACAATCATTAATATAGTCGATGTAGGCTAGTTATGATTGTTATGGTATCAGGGGCTTGGTGGCGTGGATAAAAAATACAGCTTCGCTTAGTGGACGTTGGATCGCAATAACGTAAATAGGATTATTCTAACAGTGTCAGCTCCAGTATCCTGGTTAAACGGAAGAGTAATAAGCAAAGGTTACATCTCCGCTCGGGGTATTTGTAATGATCTATTCTGTCCACTTCAGTCCGATCAAAACACTTTTCCAAATGGTCATTCTCAAGAAGGGCTTGATATGACTTTATAGTTATTATTTGTTTCAAATAATATCAACACTATAGAGATATCTTTTGCCAGGCTGACAAAAAACAAATTCTGATCAAGTTGTCACAATTTAATGCGGTAATTAAATTCACAAAGGGAATCAGATAAGCACGATGACCTCCCGTTTCCGGGTGATCATCAGACTTAATGCGCTGATGAATCTTTTCAGAGAACTAAACCGTCGAAAGGGAACATAGTTTCGTCTTATTGCGTCAAAACGCACACTCGTACATGGTCTTCTGTAAAACGTAAAGCTCACTTGTATTAAAGATACTTAAGAAGACAAACTGGAATTACTGAATGGCACTTGAAACTGGTGATCCCGAGAAGTGCAGTAACAATGATTGCCATCTATTTTGTGTTCTTGTCGAATCTCACCCCTTCAGAACCATATGGTTTTAGATGTTAGCGACCGTAGAGACAATTAGTATTCGTCTTATGAAGACTGAATCCTGTACAGAACCGCATTGTATTCCATCCATCAAAATCCCTTAGTACACATAACAATGACGTAACAAGGCTCATTTTATTTACATGATCGAGGCATTGCACAAATGGGGAAATGGACTGGACAGTCCATATTTAGTAAAATGATTCACGATCGACCAAACGAAAAATAGGGAATGCATTGTGATTGTAGAAGGGGTTCCAACTCAAAAAAGCAACAAGAAGGTTGAAAGACGGCCAAAATGAGTTGTACAAAACCGATTAATTTCTTCTTGTTCCTCAAGGGTCAGTCCGATTGCCTGTTTTTAAGAAAATGGATACACGGTGAGAAAACGTGAGTTTCTCTTCTCAACCATAAGAACCCTCTTCGTTGGCCGAGTAGCCAACCTGGATGCGAAAGTTCACATAAGCTGAAAATGCTTTAAACCGAGGAAACAGTACACCAAAATTCAGTTATGAGAAAAATCACATGTACGCCCATCAGCATCCGTAGGTGAAATCATGAATTATTAATCTCTTTTTCCCGATTTATTTCATTGAGGAAGATATCAGTGCATTGGCCCGGAATGTATATTTTCCGTTTGAATAAGGTAAGTTTATCCCAGAACCAAGATTTGTATTTTGTTTCAAATATGATGCTTGCTCACGCCTCAAAAACATACAGATGTGAACTCCTTCTGTGTGTGCTGTTTCTTTTGTTACTAACGAGCAACTGACGTCCACTCGATGGTATGCGAGAACTCCGTCTCTCCTGGTCCCAACGACGAGTGACTGGAATTGGAAGACAGCCATCCATCAATTTATAATGTCTAACCACGCAGTTAATGCATAATTTTTAGTCTGTTTTCGATGGGCAGGTTTTAGGGCGGGCGGGGGAGTATGAATTGAATCAACTTTTATATTGTCAATCAAGGAGGCTTTGCAGTCTGCCTCTTCAAATTTTCTGTATCAACTTTGGAATAACTTATGAGAAAACAGTTCTCCCTTAATCATCGGTATCCATTACTATAACACAATACATTTTGACTTCCCTTTGTACCTTCGCCCGAGCAGTATTATAACAAACACTGTCGAAGCAAGATAACTAGCTTGCTAGGATTCAAACTTTTCACTAAATACAACCCCACGTTTTACGAACGTTCCTCAACTTCGAAAGAAGATATTCTAATAGATAAGAAATGTCCTCTTGGACGGCACACATGTGCTAGCCAAATTCGTTTCATGTCAGACTGATCGGATCGCTACCGAATCATTTAACTGACTTCTGATATATCTACCAAGAGAAGTAAGGCTAGCGAGATACTCCTCCACCCAAGATATACAGGTGATACTTCTGTCCGGATCGACGTTCAGACCGTCGAAAACACTTTGATCGGTGTCTTCAGTCGCGATCCAATTACGACTGATTTTTACCTCATTATTCGAAATGACAAGCATTAGGTTGGCACAATCAGTCACTTTGTTTGCAGCCAGCGGTGTGTGCGGATGAACAGCAAGATAAACTCACTTTCATCCCTTGCATTTTGCGTCACGATCGAAAAACTGACTACATTAATTACTTTGGATAACAACTGTTTTGAGGGGTACGCTCTCAAGGTCTCTAGAACTACTGACGTGACGCTGTTCTTCATTTATCTGATTTTAGAGGAAAATGTAGAAGTGAACTTTCAAAACAGGGTGTGAAGAAGACTAGCTTCACATACTTAGGGATAATATATCCTGTGCACAACCCATAATCTGACTGAGCACTTATGAAAATCAATAAAATAAATTGTTAGTATTCAGGTGGTCTGTTCTCATTCCTCAGCTTCTTGAAAGGTACTCGCACAGGGAAACCCGTCTGGTTACTCGAAATGAGAAGCGAGGGTTTTACCGGCTCACACAGCCATTTTGGTACTTAACGTTATAATTATCAGTACTCTATTTTCTCATTTCAATAAAATTTTGTACTTATTCCATCGAAAAAATAATTTTCAATATATGTCGAAATAGTGCACCTGGGAAAGTTGAATACACAGCCACATTAGGGGTTGGGGTTGGGCTCGAACATTTGCCCGGAATTTCCGCCAGCTTCCGGTTTCAGTGATTACAGTCTTGTAGTCTAGCTTCCGTCAAGTAAGTGTCAATGGCACCAGTCATCCTAATTTGACTAATGGAGTTCAAAATCGGTTCCAGCCATGTTGTTTTGTCACTCATTTCGTATTTCTCGATCATAAACAAAGTTACCTTGTCAACGGTATATTTAAAATATTATATTATTATATTATTATATTGCATCAATAACCAAACCGTACTTGATGTTCTTGAAAATAATTTTCCGACGGGAGAAGAACCATCTGTGTGATGAACGGATATCCTAATATTTGGAAACATTTATCGCTTATTTAATCTATTTGAATTTGAAACAGAACCTTTCCTCTATCCATTGAGCTTTGAATAACTGGCGATCACTTGCTAATGATTTTCTTTTACATGATGTGATCCCTAGCCGAAGGCGTGAATAATGTAGTCACAAGAATCTACTGTTTGATGGGAAAGTTTGGTGACCTGAGACCTCGGAATAAATTGACCAGCTTCATATAACTGAGGTCAAATGTGTCAATGAGAATATTGACATTGGTGGCACCTATAACCGGATACCGTAAAAGATTTTGTTCGTGGATAACTGGTGTAAATCTCGAATATCTATTGCCGAGTTACGTATGAAGGAGTGCCTAAACATACATTCATCTTCTACTTGATCAAACTTTGAACTGCTTCGAGAGTTGCA